TTTAGTTCTCAGCAGACACAACATCTTTGTTGGTATGTGGTGCTGAGGATCGAACCCGGGTCGCACGCATGCCAGGCGAGCGCGCTACCGCTTGAGCCACATCCCCAGCCCTCCACACCTTTCTTAATACTTGTTATTCTCTGTCTTTTTATTATTGTCAATTAGAGGGTATGAAGTAGTATCATACTATGGTTTTCATTTGTATTTCCCTGACAGTAAATGATGTTAAGCATCTTTTTATGTGTTTATTGGTTATTTGTGTATCTTCTTTAGAGAAATGCTTATTCAAATTTTTTGCACATTTTAATTGGGTTACTGGCTTTTTTACTGTTGAGTTTGAGTTCTTAATGTACTTTGGATGCAAGTGTCTCTAAGTTATACATTTGCAAATATTCTCTCCCATCTATGGGCTATTGTTTCACTATGTTTAATATTCCAGAAACTCAAAAACAAAGAATGAAAAATGTAGATCATGACATGGGATGAATTAGTCTATGCTAACTTTTCATAGAGAAATTTCTAGCAGTAAAATAGTTCTCTTTGCCCCATCTTCTCCCCATATGACAAGTTTTGGGTCTCTCAGAACTTCTTTCCATCACTCTCCCTTCCCTCTTGATACCAATTAATGGAATTCCAGATTTAGTCTAGGAATTACAGGATCTCTTAACTGTTAGACAAGTCACAGGAAAGGAAAAGTATCATTTATCTGCAGAAAAATACATGGTTTAAAAATTTTTCAACTGTTATAAAAGTGTAACGTTTTAAAAAGTAGTCTTGTAAGATTTGAGGACTGCAGATGCAGGCACAGATCCATAATTATTATAGTCTCAATATTTAACGGGATATATGTTTATGAATTTCTTTTTAAAATAAGAAGAGAGTTTAATAGTCTTTAATGTCCCTATCCTCCAACAGTCACTAAACAAGATCTATAACTGCTCAAATTCTAATTTAAACTGAGAATTTGAAACTGTGTCTCTTAAATAAACACATCTAATGTCATATATTTACTGTCTTACCTCTCACCTTTTTTTAGGGGTCTTGTCTTGTAGTTGAATGTCTTCTTTCTGGGGATTCTTCATAGGTTTTGGTTTATCTTGTTTTGACTCCTTTGATGATGTTCTAGATTTCTTGTTTAAAGGTATAGTTGCAGAAACAAAATCATCTATTTATGTGTAAATGAAAAAGAAAAGAAATAAAATTATTTCTTAGTTGGAATTCAAGTTTTATAGGTAAGCAAGTTATTTAATTTCTATAGTTTAAAAATCTTCATTGATGGGGCTAGGGTTGTGGCTCAGTGGTAGAGCGCTTACCTAGCACATGCAAGGCCTTGGGTTTGATCCTCAGCACCACATAAAAAATAAATAAATAAAATAAAGGTATAAAAAATTTTAAAAAAATCTTCATTGGTATTGTTTGTCTTTATTCTCACCCAACTCCTATTGTTTAGGTGGCCTTTATTTTTTAAAATATCAATCTATAAAAAGCCAGTTCACTAAAAAATAAATAAACTGCAAAGGGTTTCAAGGAAAATATGATTAATTAAAAACCTGTAAGACCATTATAAAAACTAAATTTTTATCACATTGAAAAGTGGAAATGTATTTTTATGTCATACTAAGGATTGAACCCAGGTCGTTGCACATGATAGGAAAGAAGTCTACCGAAAGCTAAGTTATATCTTCAGGCTTTTTTATTTAATTTTGAGACAAGGACTCACTAAGTTGTACAGGCTGGACTCAAACTTGTGATTCCCCGCCTCAGTTTTCTAAGTAGTTGGGGTTATTAATGATTTTTAATGAAACTTCACAAGGTAGGCAAATACTTTTCCAAAGGCACATTACCTATTCCTAGTACATTAACCAAGCTAAGGAAAGTAAGAAGTATCACAAGGGAAGAGAATTTTTCTAGGAGTAGCAGTTTTTTGTTTTGTTTAGTTTTCTTTCATTACCATAATAAGCTTTCTATGAGCCTACCAAAGTAACTTCTTAATTCCTATGAAAGGAATGTTCTTTTCCAATCCAATACCGTTTCTCACAGATTTTTCTGTCCAGTCACATCTCAGAACTGTTGTTCTTCTCTTGACACTTATAAAACTGCAACTGTGGCTTTTAAACACATGTATGTATACCTTCAGGGTCCATGCAGTCTTAATCACATACTTTAGCAATTATTAACATATGCTATCTTGTTTATGTATCCCTACATAGGAATACCGTAATTTACAACTTTCGGCACCTCCACCCCACCCAGTATGCAGAACACTGGCAATTTATAAATATCTGCTGACCAATGACTGTAACAAAAATCTCAAAAGTTATATTCTATACTATTTTTTCTCAAGTTGTAAGCACCGAAGGCTAAGCCCAAAGCCAAACAGTTCCCATCAAACCTTGGAATTACTAAAATATTTACAGAAAACTTGGATGGTTTGGGAAGGAAATATAAAATCTAATTCTAGACTGGGGATACAGCTCAGTGGTAGAGCACCTACCTGGCATCTGTGAGGTCCTGTGTTTGAGACCAAACACCATGAAAAGAAAAAGAGGGGAAAAACCTACTTCAAAGTATACTGTACTCTAATGTTTCTCAAACTTTTGAATCAAAGTTCTCTTAAGGCAGAGACAAGTAAACATATAATAAATACAGCAGAGTTCAAGCCTAACCTTTCTTAAAGGCCTTATTTTTTTCAGACCTACCTCATAATACAATTGGGGAATATTTAATATTTGAGCTATATGTGTTATATAAATACTGACGAAATAAATGTCCAAATCTTTTAAGCAAAAATAAGAAATTCTACTTACCATCGCTATCAGAGTCCTCAAACTGTGAGTAATTGACTGGTTTCTTATGTCTATGGCCAAGACAGAAATTTTTCATTAATACAAATATTAATTTCTTACCTTCACTCACAAAGGCTATTAATAGTCTGGAATAAAGGAAACTGTGTTTATATTTTTTTTGAAATACTTAAATCTAAAACATGATTTGCACTTTAAAGTAGGGACTTAGCTGATACAGATAAAACTATACCTGATATAGAAATTAATCTACATAGCTCACAAAATAAAGACAATCTATGTAATTAACAGTTACAATTTATATACTGTTTAGTTGTTACTGGGCATTTATAAATTCCTTTTGTAGGTGTTTTATTGTTTTTCATGTGCATTACATCTTTCTTATTACACTATAAACGACACCAAAAGTCATTCTTTATAAAATATCTCATAATATTTTTTTATGCAATGGACTCTTAAAAAAATGGTGACTTTGTTCCTGTGAACTGAAATGAATTTTTATACTACTTCAGAAAGCATGAGAAGAAAATTATATTCAAAGTGGAAATATTCTTTCCTACTCTTTGTACTATGAAATGTCTCCAAATCTTTTTCTTCTGCCAAATGCCCAAGTGTGGAAATCTAGTTAACCAATTGGTTTTCTTTAAAATAAAAAGAATTCAATAAAAAAGGGTAGTTCATTTTATAATCTTGCAAGTGCTATTCCTTGAGAAAACCAATATTCTTCAGTATGTAAAGTACTTTATGGATACTTCCCATATCCTCACATACAATATTAAAAAGAAGAATACTTATGTTACTCTCCTTCAGAGTTAAAGAATTTGAGAGCTGATAAAATTATTGAAAGCTCTTTAGAAATGCTAAGGTTGAAAAATAGTAAAATAAAACCAAAAGCCTATTAAAAAGAGAAGTACACCCAAGGGTTGAGCTATAATAAATATAATGTCTTATTTCAAGCACATTTTTAAATGAAACTTGGATTTTGTTTTTCACTCTGAGTACACAGCAGTTAAGAATGCAAYGACTTCTAAAAGTCTGGTGCCACTGCATTGATTTGTGCCAAATCATCATTGTAGTACAAATGACAAAGGAGTGAAAAAATAATAAAAGTAAATATTATTATCAAAACAGTACTGACCTCATGGACCTCCTGAGAAGGTTTTAGAGACCCTCCAGAGGTTTGCAGACTATCCTTAGAGCTATTCCTAACAAACAGATTACATCTTCACTACTTGGATGTTTAAAATCCATTTCAAATTTAACATGTTGAAAACAGAAATTTTGACTCCCCAGTTCCTTTCCCAATATTTGCAAGTAACTAGCAATAAGTGGTGAAAAGCAAAGTAAGGTCACAAGTGTTTTTTAAATTACTTTAGGGTTTTCTTTAAACTATCATCAGAGTAGATGAGAAATCAAGTGGTGGCAGTTAATCTATAGAAAATAAACAAAAGCAAGGGAGCTATTTGGAAAACACCTCAAAAGAAAAGGATCAATGGGACTAACTTTTGACAGGATCCACTAAGGTTGATGTAAAGCTAGGAATTATGGCTATAGGTGTCTCCATCTGTCTGGGAAGGAAGATTCCTTTAGCAGCACAGGGGCACTAAGGTAACTGCTGACCAGCTATGACCCCAGGGCCCACATGAACATGGGATTGACTTGTAAATGAAGCCCCTAAATAGGATGGACACCATGACAGTTAAGAAGAGGACAGACTAAATTCAAATACTCCATTGCCCAATGTGAAGGAGGAGTTGAACACCTGTTTGGCAAAGAGTGTAGGTCCCCAGTTCTCCTGGTAAACATCAAATGGCAATAAATTTGGAGATGCCATCATATCCTGTGTGTGTGTGTGTGTGTCTCGTGTTCTCTGCTTAAGCCTCATTTTGCTTTGACTTTACTTTCATTTATAATAAATTGCTCTTGCATTACTTTTGGTGTCTGCCTTTAAATTTTCTTTAGTCAGAACACAAGGAAGTTTGGCGTTTTAGCTCCCCTGCTTTCTTGTGACGCTTTCCCCCTGCCTTCCTGATGATTTCCTCATCTCAGTTAATGCAAGATCATCCATTTAGTAGTTCAGATAAAAAATATTAGTCATTCTTGATTCCCTTTTTCTCTTACTTCCACATCCACTTCTATACCTCTAATGTATCTATATCTATATATCCCAAATTCATCTGATCTATTCCATGTCCCCCAATAACATCCTACTCCAAACTACTACTCAATGATATAATAGAGTGATTTTCCTGCTTCCATTATAGCACCATCCCCCATTTGATCTCCACCAGTGACCTTTATAAAAGCAAAATTAGATTTCTCTCCCATATTTAAACTCTCCCATTGGTTTCCCATTGTACTTAGAATAAAATCCAAATTCCTTTAGAAGGCCTAGAAGGCCTTACCTTCTCTGGCCCTATTTATCTAACCTAACCCCAACAATTCTCCCCACTGCTTGCTAATGCTACAGCTTAATCTCTCCCTTAATTACAGTCAAGCTGATGGCCTTGACTCTTATTCCCACTACCTGGATTGCCCCATATTTTTGCCTGGCTAACTTCTCATAATTCATGTCTCTGGACATACATCAGAAAAGTCCATCCTTCCTTCCTTACAGTTAAGGGATTCCTTCCTACTATATGACATTGGCATGTTTATTTTTGGGACCCTATGCTCACCTTATACTAGAATGTAACCTCCAGTACCTAATACAGTACAGAAATAAATATATTCGATGACTGTACTATATGAATGACTTATCCTAGGCTTACGATGGTATTCAATTGTGATTAAGTTGAGGAATAATTTCTGGTGGTATTAATGGAAAATAAAGGATCTAGTGTCAAATTACTTAGGGTGAGTATTGTCCTTCGATTTTCTAGCTGAGTGACTCAAGAAAATCGGCTTTTATGTCTAGAAGTTTAAAATCCATAAACAGGAATGCCTTCTCTTTCTACACCAAAGGATTAGCAGTGAACAAACGAAAACGACAAATAAGTACGTGCTCGCTGAAGTGCAAAACGTCGTTTAAGTGCAACATACAACAAGATCTTACTTCAATGGAGTCGAGGGTAAAAGAAACGGCAACAGCTGAGAAGCAAAGTAAGGAGTGGGTAAGAGCTAAGAAGCTGGGACACCTCTAAGAGACGGGTGTCTCTCACTACTGACTGGAATGTTTCCCGGTAACTGTTCATCCCACCCCTCCCACCGTTGTCCTCTGTCTTAAACGCTCTTTCCCCTCCATCCTGCATACAAGTTGCCTACAGTGTCCTCCTGCTCCTTCTCCCCACTGCTGCCGAATCCAACGAACTACTTACCTAACCGGCCGCACCATGTTCGCGGTTAGGCTGGAAAATTGCAGCGCTCAAGTCTCAGCTGGTAGCAGTGGCGGTTTCAATTCCCGCGCAAAAACCGGACATCGCGCTCTCCGCCTCCGCTGCCTCCGGGTCCTCCAATCATGAGCAGCCAGCCTGCAGCGGAGCCTACGCTTTAAGAGCTGGCTTGCTGACGCCCGTCTCTAGGTACGCCCTTCCGCATCCGGTCGGCCAGAACTCAGTTTGTGCTCTATCGCTGCACTTTCGTCACGACAGAGGTTCTAGCTTCGTCTCTGAAATACTTAATAACTGCTTAGAAACACACCTTGTTGCGCTTTTTAAATTATGAGATTAATATATATTTGAAAAGGTGTTATCTTAACCAAATAGTTTTCTACGAAGTGACAGAAAACAGGAAAAGGTGAGTGAATCTGACGTCGGGGATCTGCTGGCTGTAAAAACAAGCCGGCAAGTCAGCTGATATTCCTTGACAGCTCCCAGGGTGCTGGCTGCTTCGGGACCAAGCGAGGTGAGCTCTGAACCACTTAAGGAGACCACTTAAGATTGAAATCTCCTGATGAAGGGGTTGGTCCTGTCGCTCGGCTGGAGCTTCTTGGCCCCGCAGTTCCCCGCCCTTTCCCTAATGTGAGCCCCAGAGCCTCCGCTGTTGGTTCTCTGAGTTCAGTCCAGTCCTTTTCCCATCCCATGTTTGATTTCACAGACACTAAAACTGAAGCAAATCTATTACAAAAAAAAAAAAAAAAAACAGTGGAGGGAAATGGAACTAAATTATCAGTGTATTGAAACAAATCTAAGATGTTGAACCGATTGAAAACAGAGCTGATAATTTTATTACGGAATAAAAAAAATACCATATAATTTAACAACTGATTAGACCGTGTAACTCTTATTTCTGCAACGTTCAATTCCTTGCTACGATGTTAACACATTTACTGCCTCTGATTTTATCGTATCTTCTCAGTAGCATATGATTTCTATGTTGATATGTTCTTAGATATTTTATTTCTGGCTTCCTTTTATTGATCATCTTATGTTTGTCAGATGTTTCATATTTATTTTTAAAAAATATTTATTTTTAGTTGTAGTTGGACACAATACCTTTATTTTATTTATTTTATATGGTGCTGAGGATCGAACCCAGGGCCTCTCACGTGCTAGGAGAGGCCTGTACTTCTGAGCCACAACTCCAGCCCTCATTTATTTTTGATTAATCCTTATGACTCACTGTTAAATGGCACTATCCCCAGTTGTTCAGGTAGCAATTAAATGGCACAACCAGAATTTGAACCATTTGAGTGACAAAATTAAAGAGGGAATTCTCTTATTACCACACCACTTTCTTAATGCAAATGTTGGTGAAAGGTCTGTATGTCATGTTAGGAGCTATCATTCAACTATAGATAAGATACAACCTTCAGGATACTCACAGTAGAGGTGAAGTTGGAAATGTAAATAGAGTTTAGATTATGAAGGTCCTTGAATGCCATGCTAAAAAGTTTTGGAAAGATGTAGTGGGAAGTTTAAGTGAAGGGAGCCTAAAATGTAGGGGTGGTCCATTGGTGGCAAGGAAACCATCAATTATCCAGAGATGATGATACCATACACAAAGTTTTCTGGATGCTTTTAGTGAATATATGTGCATGTGCATGCATGTGTGTATGTGTGTGCATTTGAATATATTCTTAGGAATGGAATTTCTGCATCATAGAACAGACTTTTTGTAGTTTTGGTAATTATTGCCAGTTTTCTAAAACTGTTGTACAAATTTACATTAATTTACACTTACTGAATATTAGTCATTCAATTCATGAGTAAAACATAGGTTTTTGTTCTCTCTCTCTCTCTCTCTCCACCCCCTTTCCTCCCTCCCTCCCTCCCTCCCTCTCTTTTCCTTTTCTTGCAGTACTGGGATCAAATCCAGGACCTTGCACATTCTAGGCAAGCACCCTACCACTGAGCTGTACCCCCAGCCCAGTATCCTCTTTCTTTGCATTAGGATGAAATAGACTGAAATTTTTATATACACCCTACATACAGAGTTGAAAATATAGGCTGGATAATTCAAGTCATCAGCACACCCACACACAAACACCAAAAAAGTCCTTTGAATTATTTTTAAATGTCAAGTGACTCTTTTTTATTAACATGCTAATTGTGCATATTAATGGAATTAATTAATTAATTAACTAATTGTGCATATTAGTGTTTTCCAGACATGCATATAGCATGTGTTGATCATATCCAACTATCCTTCTTTCACCCTCACCCCCACCTTGTCCCTTGCATCCTTCCTGATCCCTAGTAATAGTTCTACTTTCAAGCAGTTGACCTCTTTTTAAAGCACAATATGAGTAACTATTTGTTGTCTTCTTTATTTTTGCAGAGAGCACCATAAAATAAAAATACCATATAATTTACAATTGTTAGCCTTGCTATTATGTTCCCAGCATTCTACATGGTACATGGAATACATTTTCTCTCACTTGAAGTAAACTATTCTAGTGAGAGTAAGAAAATAGCATGATTCAGATAAGTCCAGACTAGTAGTATGAGAACTTGTAATAGGGACCCAGTATACTTTTGGAGAGTTGGTTTAGGCTTCTGGGGGCTAGCTGAACTACGACCCAAAGAATGAGTAGTTATTATCCAAGAAAATTTAAACTAGTGAGACTACCTTCAGGAAAACTTAATTCAGAAAGCTTAGGAGTGGAAAGAGAAATTTGGTATTAAAAGAAGTTCAGAATGATAGGAAAACAAATTTGCAAATTGGCTTATTGATGAGTAAGGTGTAGGTGCATCCTAGAGAAGAGTCTAGAGGTGTAAACTGGAATAAAGGGTTTGAATATTATCAAGAGAGCAATAGACTTGCCACATGGAGATCTAACACTTTCTTATCCCTTTCTCCTATCAGATCTCAAAAATCACAACCTCTGAGATCACCTGGATCACTACTTGGTCCCTGATCTGTTTCACTTTGTTTTCACCAACTGTTTACTAGCTCTTTATCTACACATCTAGGTATCCCTTCCTAAGAATCCTTTCCCTAGTATTGAGAACCCTGTCTAAGAATACAATGTATAATTTTTTCCTTGTATGAAGTTTAAAAGAAACTGTTTTCATTTTAAAAAATAGAGGAAGAACTTCATTTTCATCATGAAAACAAAAAATGGGCAGGGATAAACACTTGGAAAAAAACTGGAATAGTTGGCTCAGAGTCACACAAATAAAGTCTTTTGAGTGATGGAATATATTTAGAAGTGCTACAGCAATAATGAGACATCATGGTTTTATAATATAACTTGTTGCTTTTTTGTTATTATTCTACAGAGAACCTGTCAAAGAATATGAAGAAAAACCGAGAAAGATTCTGCAACAAAGAAAGGGAGTTTGTGTATAAATTCAAAGTAGGAACTGAGTGCTTAGAATTGAGAGTACCCCTCAAATTTCCTGTTCAGGAAAATGCCAGTCATTTGCATGGACGTCTGATGCTGCTTCACAGCTTGCCATGCTTTATAGAAAATGGTAAGGACTGATTTTTTAAAGTTATGCCACTTAATTATTTTCTTATGGACTCTCTCATTAGAAGTTTCATGCTAGAAAGCATAAACCTAAGAAGCAATGGAAACAAAATATGAATTAACTGCTTCCAAGAATAAAAGATTCCTCAGATCTTTGCTTTATTAAGTGTTTCCCCTATTACCTGTGTAACTGTTATAAAAAATTTAATTAAAAAATTACATAATGAAAACAGGTCTTAATGAAAACTTTCACATTTAAATTTAGTTGAGTTGATTCATATGGTATTTCATCCATCACTAATTACAACATTATAGAATTATATTGGTAAATTGGTTGGCCTTTTAATGATCTGATAATCAATTATTAAGATTCCATGGAACAGAAGTTTGAAAAATATTTGATTACCTAAATTAGTTTCATAAAGTGATCTGTATTAAGCCATTTTAAAAGGTCTCTCTTTTCTATTTCACAGACTAGGAAAAAATTTCAAATTAAAAATATATTGAATCACAGAATGCTAGAATTATAAGGCAACCTAGAAACTTTCTAGCACAATCATATCATATAAATAAAGAAACAACATAAATAAATAAATTATTTACCTCAGGCAGTAATTCTCAAAGTGTGGTACCTAATCAGCAACAACCTGGGAACTTGTTASAAATGTAAAATCTTGGCTGTATGCTATTCCTGCWGAATCAGAAACTCTAGGGGTAGCCCTGAAGCAGTTGGTTTCAGCTAGTCCTCCAAGGGATTCAAGATTGTGTACCCTGGTCTAAAGTCACCAACATAGTGACAAAACCAAGGCCAGAATCCTTGTGTATTCCACTGCTCTTTCCATTATGGCAGTCCCTAAATAGTGTTTCTCAAATTGAAACCTTAGAGTATCTGCATTAAACTGGTTTTAATATAATCGATTTCTTTTTGCAGATTCAAAAGCTCTAATATACTCTTTAAACTGATATAAGAAACTGTTTTTCACTTATATACAGTAACTTCAGACTCTCAAAATCTGTGGGTCTTTCTTTATATGCATATACCTGTTCGGCTTCAAACTGAATTATTGGTTTAAAAAATTAACATTATTTAGGGCTGGCAATGTGGCTCAAGTGTTATTGCGCTTGTCTTGCGCTGGGTTTGATCCTCAGCACCACATACAAATAAAGATGTGTCTGCCGAAAATTAAAAAAAATATATTAAAAAATTCTCTCTCTCTCTCTCTCTCCTCTCTTAAAAAAAAGAAATTAACATTATTTAGTTAGTATCAAGGATACAGAAAAACTAAGAATTTTGACCTTTCTGCAACAAAGTCTAAGATGCCACACACATCATTTGTTTAGATGAGGTAGGGAGTAATGAGAGAGTTGGGTTTTTGAGGACAGAATATAATAAAAAAAACTGTTGTGAAATGATTCCCTAAACTAATTTTTTTCCCCTGTGCTGGGGATTGAACCAGGGCCTTGTGCTTGTGATACAAGCACTCTACTACTGATTTTATTTTAATTGAAGATGATATTAAGCATGTTTGATAAAATAAAAATTTTGCACTGGAATGCTTGGCCAAGTAAAATATTCCCTTTCTGTATGTGGAATGCTGATGATGGCATTTATTGTTCCTCTTACAGACTTAAAAGAAGCTCTGAGCCACTTTATAGAGGAAGAATCCCTCAGGGATTATGATAGAGATGCTGAAGCATGCTTGGAGGCTGTGAAATCAGGTGAAGTAGATTTACATCAGCTGGCAAATACATGGGCCAAAGCTTATGCTGAGGTAAGAAAATAAGTCAAATTGTATATTTCAAGGATATTCTGGGATTCAGTGAGGATTTTTAAATTGCTAACATAATACTTAAACAGTTTGTGGAATCCTTTTTTATCTGTATAACAATAATATTCAGTATATGTTGCTGCTTTTGTACTCATTCATTTATCAGTATGAGCACATAAAAAATGTGCTTTGTAGAATACTTTTGTAAAATAGAAGCTACTTTTCCATATCCAGCCAATGTGGGGTCACCAGGTTTAATAATTAAAATATGGGATACCTATTGAAGACAGAATTTCAGATCAATGAATAATTTTAGTATAACTATCCCAAATATTACATGGAACATATTTATACTGAAAAATGATTTACTCTTTATCTGAAATTCTAAATTAACTGTATATCTTGGCTTTCATCTGACGACTCTAAAACAGTAGTGGTTCACTTTGATTTACTTTTGTCTTCTTACTTTATTGTTGTGGTGTAGCTATATAATGCCATCGCTTTTCTATTTAATTAACATACACCATTTCATAAAGTCTAAGATGCCACACACATCATTATTTTATTTACTAAGAAAGAAACCACCATCAGTTAAACTATGATAAAAAGCCAAGATGCCACTGAATATGATGTAAAGAAAAGACTCAAATATAACATTAGATTTATCAAGTAATCTTGTCAATGGAAAGGTCATTTCAATGAATTGGTGGGAGCAGGAACTAGATTTCAGTGACTTTAAGAATAAGGAAGTAGAAAGAAGGAAGAATAGGAATCAATAACTCTAGAAGTTTGGCTATTTGAGGCACTTGCTAAATGGGAATACAGAGTCAGAGGTTTGTTGTTTTTGTTTTGTTTTTAAGATGGTAGAGTTGAAGTCTAGAAAATAGAATCCAGAACTCAAATGGAGAATTAACCTTAACTGAGAAGAAATGTATATCTTTCATTAATGCAGGAAAGATATAAATCCCGAAAATTTTACTAATTGTAGTAGGAAGTTGATGATAGTCTCTTCTGACTGCTTCAACTTTATCTGAGAAATAGAAAAGACAGATCATTTGTTTAGATGAGGTAGGGAATAATGAGAGAGTTGGGTTTTTGAGGACAGAATTCTCCAAGGAATGGTGGGATTGTCAAAAATAATTGAAGGGCGGGTCCTGGAGCAGATGAGCGCAGAATATTTAGGCGAAAGCGAGAGGAGGGGGGGAGCGCGGGGCAGGAGGAGTACCTCGGCCAAGAAAATTATGCATGCGTTAGGGAAGCTCTGAGAGAATGGCTGTGGAAGCTCTCCACTGTGGTTTGAATCCACGGGGTATCACCCTTCCCGGCCGAAGGTATTAAGCTGCAAATTGAAGGTGAAGGTGTGGAGTCTCAATCCATTAAAAGCAAAAATTTCCAGAAGGTGCCTGACCAAAA